ATCACTTTCTCAAAATCACATAAAGCCATATTATAATATCGRHTKADATAAAGAAGAAAATGAAATATTAAAATCATGATGTATCTCGCTGCATTGCGCGAGTACGCTTCTAGTAAATTTATAATTCATAAATGTTTCTTGATTTAATTGCTCTCGTTTGTTTTATAGTTTACAAATGTGAGTTGGCTTCCAAACTCTAAATACGGTTATCTGTGAAATGCTTTAGGGCTATCATGTATTTAGATCGAATACAAAAGTACACACGACTTACGTAAGTTGTACTTACGTACAATCTACTTGTAATATTGAGTTTTAAATAACATGGATTAATAAACAATATTTTATACATAAAAATGATTTTTAAGAGTTTTTATCAAACATTTTATAATATAGTATAGATAAAAATAAAAACCGTAATTTTTAACCAACAATAAAAAACGAAAATGTAGTTTTCATTTATATTTTTATTTCAGTTTTTAATATAAAATTATTGGTTTATGAAACAAAAAGCATTTGTAGGGCTGATGTTGATTTCCGAGACAAACCCACAAAGCTGCATTTGGGAATCTTTCTGATGTGTAATGTCTAGTTTTTATTTTTTATTTTATTATAAAACATTTGACAAAAATTCTTAAAAATCAATTTTTATGTATAAATTACTGTTTATTGATACATGTTACTTATAATTCAAGATTACAAGAAATTTTGCATAAATACAACTTATTAAAGCTTCATTTTTCAATTCGTGTAACTAACTGCGGATAAATATAATCAAATACAATATAAACATCCATTTTAAATATAGAAAATTTAAAATATAGTTAAGATAATCATTGAGTCTAACAGAATGTTTAATTATTATCTTTATAAAAATTATTAAACAAAAAATAAATTACTTTGTTATTAAATCTAAATTAACTTATAGTAAAAATTTGAATTAAAGAAGTTAAAAAAAAAACGAGAACTATTAGATAGTTAATTTGATACTAATAACGATTTATATTTTCAAATTTTTATGTTATCTTCAAATTTATATTTCATTAAAAAATAAAAACATCATCACTTTCTCAAAACCACATAAAATCGTATTATATCGATAAAAACATAATAAAAACTAAATATTTAAAACTAAATTTATTTTTTTGCCTTATGTCCACGCCAAAGGGGTTAATGTGGCGGCAAGGCTACGCCTCGGCACCATGGCGGCGCCAATGCGTGTTTTTTAGAACATTGGTAAAAAGACAGGAAGACTTTACCCAAATTCAACCATGACCGATCATCTGCTAGCCCCAGCTGTTGACTGAGTTAAAAAGATCTCCTCATATTTATGTGATTGAAGACATATTCTACGTGGACCAGTTAAAGTTACGGAGAATAAAATTTTCCCCAATTTTTGCTCCTCTAAAATAGTGATGGCCAAAAACCGGTTCCGGGCCTTAACAGTGTTGGCCATAACCGGTCCCGGTCGAAAATGAAGAGCCCGGTTAAGGTGAAGTATAATCGGTTATAGTGAGCCGGTCCCGGTCCCAACCATTAAAAAATATATTTAAAAACAAAATTAATGATAGATTTTTTTAATACGTTATAAAATTTGTAATTTGGTCACCCAAATACACTTCGAAAATGCATTTTATTGTAATTAAAATTACATTGTTTTCAAAAATACATTATTGAATTATTTGATAATGCACTTATTCATCAATTCAGAACAACAACCGATCCCGGTTGACAGTCCTATAACCGGTACTTAACGGTCCCCGGTCTGGACCTGTCCTTTACCGGTCCCAGGCCACATCGGGCCGGTTTGACCATAACTATACTAAAACATGCCTAATGATAATGGGCCGAGTTTTGTAAATGACAATGGGCCTTGCTAGCCTATGATTCACATTTTGAGACTTGAACTCAGAAATCAAAAATGGTGTCCATTTGGTTTTCGGACGTCGAAGAAACGGGTTTCTTGGTTTTGCTCTTCAAGTTCCCGCCACTGTTCTCCTTGTGTCGTCGGAATTCCACTGTTTCTGAATTCATCCAACGTTTCATTGATCCTGCTTATAGGTGAAGTTCTTTCATCTTCGTTCTCACTCATCTTTTGTTATATTTTAATTCGTATACAGCTTTGAGAAGTTGATTTTCTCTTCCACTATGTATATGTGTATGTATATTGAGAAATTGAACGGAGGTGAATCTCAATTTCATGTTAGTTTTCTACTATTAATCGATAATCGACTAGAAGTGTAAAACAAGTCTACTGGTTTGTATGCCATTGTTTGTTTTAGGATCAATACAAACGATTTAGGGTTAGAACTCTGATAGTGGATTGTCGATTGTATAGAAATGCAGATTTCTATATGGAACAAAATAAGATTGCATTGATAAACTCATGGATTATAGATAGTTAACTGCGGGTTGTTTTTCTAATCATGGATTTTTATTCTGTTATTGTAGGGTTTAAAGAGCTGAAAATCTCTTGTCATGGCTGATTTGCCAAGGTAAAACATGTGTTTTTTGTTTCGATTTACTATATGTTATCATTAGAAACTTTGGGTTGCAGTGTAGCATGTCTATCAAAATTTGATATAGCATTCTTATTGCAAGTAATTAGTTGGAGGAAATCTTAATTGTTTCAACTACTTAAAACCCTAATTCTCACAGGATGCAAAGTAGGTTTTTCATAAAAGCTTCCTTTCTATATCTAAGATATAAGGGGATGAAAGAGGTTCGCAACTTGTAGTATACCGAGTTTCAGTAGACCCTTTTTTGACATGGTTGTTCCACTATGTGGTGGAAAGCCATAAGTTCATAAATTAACATTCTTTTGTGTAGGACAACTTTGTGATTTATGTTGTTAATTTCTAACGAAGGCTTGGTGGTTTCCCATTGATTTGCTTTCTGCAATGATTTTGTATAATCTACTAGCATATTGGCTATAAAAGTTCTCTATTAGCTTCATTTTCTATAATTGTACGAATGATTTTTCAACTTCCGTGTGCTTATACTATGTTGAACATGAATTGTTCTGTGTGATATAGGGATGATAATAGCAATACGCTCCGCATTCTTGTTGCCACAGATTGTCATCTGGGCTATATGGAAAAAGACGAGGTTCGCCGGCACGACTCATTTCAAGCATTTGAAGAGATATGCTCTATAGCAGAGCAGAAGAAGGTAACAGCTCCCTTCTGCTCTTCCTTCTCCTGCAAGTAACCCAAATTTATGTCTAATTATCACATCTATAGGTTCAGAACATGTGTTTTCCTTAACAGCTCCCATAACACACTAAGGTTGTACATGTGTTTTCCTTAAATGTGTTAATCCATCCTACATGTGAGGGGCATGCTAAGTGCTTATGGCCCACATTGTTTGAATTTGAAAAGGACTCTTAGTTCAATGAATATAATCCAAGGGTGACTCCAACGATCATTATTATAGCTAATTGCTCGTTCATGTATTTTATGCCACTTTTTCTTTATAAAGTAGTTACATGGTCAAAGAGTTTACGTGGATATGTTCTTGTGATGAAAGCTAATATTTAATCTGGAAATAGGTGGACTTCTTGCTTCTTGGTGGTGATCTTTTTCATGAGAACAAGCCATCAAGGACGACGTTAGTGAAGGCAATTGAGATTCTGCGTCAATATTGTCTTAACGATAAACCAGTGCAATTCCAAGTTGTCAGCGATCAGACTATAAACTTTGCAAATGTGTAATGACTATTCTTACTAGCATCCTGAATACTAACGAAAGGTTATTATCTGCCCATGTGATTAACATGAGTTGGCTGTACCTGAATTCTTCTAGCTGCATAGTTCTAATTCTATTCTTATTTTATTTCAAAACTTTTCAACTTGGCTATGCAATGATTACTTCCATGCAAAGAAAAATAAACGGAAGTATTATAAAATGAAGGCGCTTGTAATTACTTTATACTTTTTCATCAAGTTCTTTAACTTTTTGGTCTGATTGAACAGTTTTAGATCGCTTAAAAGTGGAACTTAAAGAGGTGAAGCTCTTGAGAGTAGCCTCCTAGCTGCTATTTATACACACATAAGTGTATGTGTATGTGCATGTGCGCATATATGTATGTATATGTATTGGATAGAAATGTCATTACACATGCATATTCAATAACATATATGTTCATATGATTAGAAATGTTCCTTGTATATACATGTTTCATATGGTTAGAAATGGTTTATGTATATATACATATTCCATATTGATGAGAAATGTTCTGTGTAATTTTGTATATATGTATATATATGTTCCATACCGATAAGAGATGTTCTTTGTGTGTATATATATACATGTTTTATATTTATGAGAAATGTTCTTTATATGTATGGCATGTCACTTCCAGTTGTCAGCTACACAATAGGGTTGGTTTTTCACTGCATAATGTTGATCTGAACAGGTTTGGTCATGTAAACTATGAAGATCCTCATTTTAATGTCGGCTTGCCAGTGTTCAGTATCCATGGAAATCACGATGATCCAGCTGGAGTGGTAATTGTTATAGTACATGACCTATCTTTCTTCTTATATATGTCAGCCGAGCAAGTTGTTTGTTTTGTTATATCATTTCTTCTTTTGATGTGGCATCTTACATATTGACTGTCTATTACCTGAGACTTATATGTCATTTTCAAATATTACTATTAGATATGTCTTACACACACACACATATATATATATATAGAGAGAGAGAGAGGAGGGGGGGGGAAAGGTTCAGGAGAAAACCTCAAGAAAATGAAAAACTGAAGAATACCCTGGTAAGCATTCATCTGGATCGTATGCACATGTGTAAATAAGTAATTGAAGCAGTTTTTTGGTTTTATGCACATGTGCATGTTATGCACCTGTGCATACCGGACAAATTGCTTAAAGATTACTTGTATGCACATGTGCATACGGTCCAGATGAATGATTATTAGAGTGTTCCTCAGTCTTTCATTTTCTTGAGGTTTTCCCCTCAACCTGACCCTATATATATATAGATAGATAGATAGATAGGAGTGGTTTCCAATATAAGCCATGTAATTCTTACAAACCATGCAAACCATAATCAATGCTTACATTAGGAAATAGTTGAGATATTTATGGACAATTATCACGATTCATTAATTATGTTGAAATATATATAAAAGATGATAAGGTTCATTCATTATGATCATGGTTTTAGATTAGGAAACAAAATGAAATCATATATTTATTAGAATAGATGAACGACTAAAATGTGGTTTGCATAAGTTTGTTGGAATTGAAAGGTTTCTAATATAAGTCTCCCCTATTTATATATATAGGAAAAATCAAATACAAGCCATGGAAAGGTTACAAACCCTACGAACCAATCTCAACCGTCCACTGATAATTAATGAACTATAATAATCTTCCATAAATATTCAAATCATAATAAATGAACCTTCATCATTTCCATAAATATCTTAATTTATTGATTTGTATGGTTTGTAACCTTTCCATGGTTTGTATTTGATTTGTCCTATATATAAATATTTTTATTCATCACATGAACTGCTATGTTTTTCCGACTATACAACCGTTTTACCGGTAAGCTAACTGCTATTGCAAATCAAGGACCTTTCAATTCCGGTTTAGCACCATGATAACTTTTTAGGCTGTATCCTTGAGGGATAGCTCAACAGGCAAATAAAGGCTAGGCCTTGGGGCTCCTCCTGTAACCTGATTCTCCTCAGGGACAGCGCCGATTTTTCTGGCTGTTATCTTCAAGGCCCTATGAGATTAGTCGAGGTACACGCAAGTTGGCCCAAACACCCGTAGTTACCAAAAAATAAAGAAAATCTTAGGCTGTTAAAATGATTGAGCATGAAAAACTTTAAAAATAGATCTTAAGAATTTCTATACTTATGGAGGAGGATATCATCTTTAGACCTTGTTTCAACACAATTTCTATACTTCAAAAGGATGGATATTGATTATGAGAAAGATGAATTTTGTTGTGATGTGTGCATGTACATTGAAGCATTCTTCATTCTTCCAATACATGCATGCACTCAGAATTCAATGCAACAGGAGATTGCTATGCCAGTCGTCTTTATGCATTTTCAGATTGGAGTCCAAAGCCACCATTTTCGTTTAGAAAGGAAAGTTATTGCAGTTGACTAACAAGGAATACTGAATTTGATACTACTGTATCTACCTACATTAACGATTCAGGGCTTCAAAGCTTAATCATGCATTCTCATATTATGGTCTCTTGGCTGGTAACTTAACTTGCGAGCTAGTCGATTTTCCAAACTCATCACATAATGTAGTTTGGCATGGAAATCTTTGTATGCTTCTATGTCACAGTTCATCCATTAAACAAGAATATCAGTTTCTAACTTTCTATGAAGTACAGCTATTTGCTTGCGACTAAATTTCCACATCCATTTTGCATTGTTCTTATTTTGTGACTAAGGGGCTGTTTGGTTGGTTTTCCATTAAGTCCTGTATAGATGAAGTTGTTTGTGTCGGTTGATCTGTTTGTATAGATAGAGAAGGTTTTTGTTTGGGAGATTCACAGATAGAAGGAGCGTGTTTTTTTAAATTGGAGGGGAAGGTTTGAATTGTTTTTGGCATTTTGCATAAAGCTTTCCCCTAAAAGCTCACTGAATAAGCCACATTCTATATCATTAAGCCACTGCCAAACAATCATGTATAGCTGACCGAATAAGCTGCGTGTCTCATTAAGCTGCTAACAAACATACCCTAAGTTTGTTTTAGAGCATGTTCTGAAGAACTCTGAATTTCGTGGAAAGATGCTTTTTTCTCTTGGTTAAATAACTGAGATCATAAACATCTAATTTTTCTTATTATCAATTTTTTTAAGTATATAATATTTATATACAGCAATAGCAACAAAATAACTCGATTGCTGGAGCCAACCTTTTGAACTCTTGATTTCTGATTTATTACAGGATAACCTTTCTGCAGTTGATATCCTTTCAGCATGCAATCTTGTAAACTATTTTGGCAAAATGGTGCTTGGAGGTTCGGGGGTTGGGCAGATTACTCTCTGCCCAATTCTTATAAAAAAGGTCTGTCATGAATTTCTTTGGCTTGGTTAAGGGAGTAGAATGCATCCCTATGAGATAACTATTTTGTACGATTTACAGGGTTCAACTTCTGTTGCTCTGTATGGCCTTGGAAATATCAGAGATGAACGTTTAAATAGAATGTTTCAGGTTCTTGTCTGAACTCTACATATATTACAACCGATTCTAACTATGATCACATCTTCAAGTATTTGTCTATTATTTATTTTTAATTGATGTTTCTTTGAGTATGATAGACTCCACATGCTGTACAATGGATGCGTCCTGAAGCTCAAGAAAATTGTCAAGTTTCAGATTGGTTCAACATTTTAGTGCTTCATCAAAACAGGTTATAATTATAGTTGAAGCGTATGATCACTAAACCAAATGGATAAGTATATATTAGCAATAATGAAGTGTATTTCTATATGCAGAGTGAAGACAAATCCTAAGAATGCCATAAATGAGCATTTTCTACCTCGGTTCTTGGACTTTATAGTTTGGGGGCATGAACATGAATGTCTTGTTGATCCTCAGGTAGAATTAAATTTATAGTCTTTTGTCAAATTTCTGTATCCCATTGAGCTTAATTGAAGGTTTATTCATATGTAAACACTTGATAGGAAGTTCCAGGTATGGGTTTCCACATTACTCAACCAGGCTCTTCGGTTGCAACATCGCTTATTGATGGAGAATCGAAGCCAAAGCATGTACTTCTGGTAGAGATTAAGGTTCATTCGCCTAAACCAACTTGAAAACAGTTCTCTTTTCTAGGACCAACTTTCAAACTTTGTTGTTTTTATTTGAATTCCAATTATTTGGCAACCTTTATACAGGGAAATCAATATCGGCCGACCAAGATACTGCTACATTCTGTACGGCCTTTCGAATATAAAGAGGCAGGTTTATATGTGTTATTTAGTTATGAAACACACAAAGGAGAGGGGGGGGGGTTTGTGATTGCCAGACTGGATTTTCTTGAATTGCTGAATTTTGATGACACAGATAGTATTGAAGGACGAACCTGACATTGACCCAAATGATCAAAATTCAATTCTTCAACATCTGGACAACGTGGTAAGCTTTCTCCCCTTATAATCACCCTTGCAGAAAAGTTATAGTTCATGAAGGTTCTTCAAAAGTGCAAATCATGTAGCGTTATGGTGTTGTGGTATCTTATCGATTCCAAATTTGCCTTAGGTAAGCAGTCTAATAGAAAAGGGTAGCCGAAGGGATGCTAGAAATTCAGAGACTATACTTCCACTTGTCCGTGTAAAGGTACTACGTTTTAGTTAAAAGTAATGATAATAATGAAGGGCATTATGCACAATTTTTTTGTTTGGTGTAAGATGTTTCTTCCTAAGCTACAGCAAAAAGGTTCAATCTACAAGCTGTAGAGTTACAGTTTTTATAATTATTCCGAGTATGCATCTTGTCTTTCACATGATTACATTATCAGGTTGATTATTCTGGGTTCATGACCATAAATCCTCAAAAATTTGGCCAAAAGTATGTGGGCAAGGTACTTCCTTTTCATTTGGTATATAGGGTAAATCTGCATGGAAGTCAAAACTTCCCTAAAAATGGTTGAAGGAAAATGACATTGTATACAAATTGTAGGTTGCAAATCCCCAGGATATTCTTATCTTTTCCAAAGCTTCAAAGAGAGCTCAGGGAGAAGGTTAGTAAATTTACATACTTTGGGCTTCCTACATTTTACTTCATGTAATCATGTTGTTGGGGATTTTTAGGGGCTTTTTGGTTGGTTTTCTATTAAGTCTTGTATGAATAAAGTTGTGTGTGTGGATTAATTTGTTTGTATAGATTGGAAAAGTTTTTGTTCGAGAGGGTTTTTTATAGCTACGATGAGCGTGTTTTTTAATTGGAATGGCAGGTTTGGAAAAAAAAAAACTTGGTCTTCTGCATAACTTAAGCTTATTGAATAAAAAACTTTGTAAATCATTCACTATCAAATGGTCATGTAAACCTGACCAAATAAGATGAAAGTCTCATTAAGCCCATTAAGCTGCTAATAAACAGACCCTAAAGATTAGGGTCAAATAAGATTATGCAAAATATATCCAAGTTAGGGCCTATTCTGACAATTTCACCAAATAATTTCTAACAAAAAAGAAGGGCTAGTTATTAAATTTTAATTTTTGTCAAGTCATTTCATACCTACATGGTGATGGTTAAATTTTCTGTTGGCTTTAGCAAAAATTAAGGACACTGAACGACTTCGACCAGAAGAATTGAATCAGCAAAACATTGAAGCTTTGGTTGCAGAGAGTCAACTGGTATATGGTCGAATCCCTTTGTCCTATTGGATGTTGTGTGTAATTAGCTATGTACTTCTCTCTTTTTTTGGGTCTTAAAATATTTTTTTTGGGTCTTAAAATATTTTTTTTGGGTCTTAAAATATTTAGGGTCCGTTTACTCAATGCTTACCCGATAAGCGCTTACCAATAAGAGTCAACAATTTCACTTAACTTACCGAGTAAGATTTTAGTCCATTAAAACGGCATCTATGCAACAACTTTATCTGGTAAGTGCTTATCGGGTAATAGTCGTCACTCACTTGCTGGGTAACACTCTCGGTTTTTGTCATTGCTCTTACTGGCTAAACTTCTCAATTTTTGTCATGTTCATCCAATCAACTAAAGTGACCGGGTAAGCATTTAGTAAACGGCCCCTTAGATGCTGAAAGTTTTGAGTACATGGTAAATATCATGTGTTTAACCTATGTTATGTTTCTTTATCATGGTCTCCACTTAATATGAGCAATATTTACAGAAAATGGAGATACTTCCCGTGAATGATTTAGATGAAGCGTTACACAATTTTGTTAACAAGGATGACAGGATGGCTTTCCATTCTTGTTTGCAATACAACCTTGAAGAAACCCGTGTAAGTAGTCTTTTTGTATACCTAAATTGCCAGTATCAAGTGTTGTTATTGGGATGATATTGACATACACTTTTTTCTCTTTTGGTTAATTCCCGTTGATAGTCTTTCAACTTTTTCCTTTTTAATCTTTTTTACTGGTTAATATCACCAACGTCTATCTAAGTAAGCATATCTCTTTGCTGATTATTTGATCATATATTTGCTGAAACAGAAAAATATTTCTCGGGATCCAGATAATATGACTGTTGAAGTTGAAGATATAATTGTTAAAGTCGAAACTTGCTTAGAGGCAAGAAACTGAATGCTTTAGATACTTTCAATATTTACAGTTACGTCTTATCTCCCCTTTCTCTCTCACATAGTTAACATTATAATATGTGCAGGAGCGTGTCAAGGGAAGGTCCAAGTCTAAGGAAGATCAACTATTTACTTCTAGTGCTCAGTCGATGGAGGTAGTATCTTACAACTGAATTAAAATCTCACCCCCAAATCTAGGGATAGCAACGAGGAGGGTATGGGTAGGATTGGAGTTATTCCGTTATGCTATCTATTTAAAATAGCGGGTAATGAGACGGGTAATTATCCATTTATCCATATCCATATCCTACCCATTATTAAAATAGTGGGTAAAAAATGGGTAATGGATAAATGGTAAAAAAATCCTTTTGAACTACAAATAATATTGTTAAACCTCAAACATAAAAGTAAAACATAGGTTCATGAAAATAGTAATTATTTTATTTCTAATTTGTTTTAATAAACATTGAAATATAATTATAACATAATATTTTAAAAAATATAAAAATTGAAAAAGAAACATTTTTGTTGTTTTTTGTTTTCCCGACACTATCTTGTTTCGCATTTAATTATTATGAACCCTTTTTCTCAATAAATATAAAAATAAATTAAATTATACATTAATATACGACATGTATGATAACATTATAAAGAAAAATATTAATATTTAATTTTATGTAATTATGTATATATATTTATTTTTAAATTTGTACTTATATACATATGTGTATATTTTGTAACAAGTAACTAGTAAATGGATAACAAAAAACCGTTTATCTATACCCTACCCACTGAAATGTTGGATAAACGGGTAATTGATAAGTGAATAAATGGATAAACTTTTCTTTGCCCATATTTTTATCCAACAGGTCAAAACATAACGGGTAACGGGTTTACCTTATCCATTGCCAGCCTACCCAAATCTCATGTCCCCTCCCTGTCCACCAGTCACGTAAAAACACATCACTACGTTATTTAGAATAATTTCTTTAAAATAAAATAATGATGTGTCTTCATGTGATTGATGGGTCAGGAAGGGGAAATGAGATTTGGGGACAGGAGATTTTTATTCCTTATAACTTCACTGTGGGTTGGGTGGTTGCACAACTAATCTTTGTGCCTTGTTTTTCTATTTTTTTCGTTCTTGATAACTGGAAATTATTTTCCGGACTACCAAATTATGCAGAATATGGTAAATAGAACACCTGGGGGCATTGGAAGTGCAGTTTCCTTTAGTGATGATGAGGAAAGCACACAATTTGTTGGTTCAAAATCTACTGCCAGAGGCAAAAAAGGGTCGTTGCAACAGTTTAAGTCGGCTCGTGATGTCTCTGAAGTTGGCAAGACTTCAAGAGGAAGGGGAAGGGGACGTGGTAGGGGATCTAGTAGTTTGAAGCAGACGACTCTTGATACAGCCATGATGTTCCGTCGTTCAGAGAGGTCTGTTGATATTATCGTTTTATGTTCTTGAACAAAGTTATTTTTCTTGCATGGAACGTACTTGAGTTGTCGTTGCTATGTGTAGGATTAGGGTTGGTTTAAGGAAAAAAACCACAAAAAGAATTGAAAACTGAGGAACACCCTCGTAACATTCATTTGTCCCGAATGCACATGTGCATAAAAGTAGTTTGTCCCATATGTACACGTGTATAGAAACAAGGAAAATTTGCAATTATTTTTATGCACATGACGTGCATACCGGACAAAAGAACGGTTATTAGGGTGTTCTTCAGTTTCATTTTTTTTGTGGTTTTTTCAGAACTTCAGTATGTAGAATAAATTAGATTCACTCTTTAGGATTAATCACTAAGGTAGTTTCTGCAAAAGAGATATTCATGATGAATAATATTCAAAGTATAAGTGAGGGGCATGTTTTTCTGAGAACCGAAAATGTTTTGAGAATGTGAGAACGAACTATTTGTTAATTATTCACGATGATAGATATAATGATGCATATCATGAATGATGAAAATGCATAATATTCATGATGAATATTCATCATTCATGAATATTTTAGGCATATTCTTCATGAATAGTTGGTTCTCACGGTTCTCAAAATATTTACGGTTTCTAAATGAACTTTCCCCTTGTAAGCTAAATCTTAAAAAAAACATCAATCACACATTGAATTTTTTTATTAGAAATAAAAGATGCAGATAGGGTTCTTATTCCAAAGTGAAAGCAACAAATATGATGTTCTTTGTAAACCTTTTTGTTCAACTATGCATTTTATATGTCCGGATTGCCATAGAAGTTTCATAGTTAACCTTTTTTCGTGCAGATCAGCATCCGTTGCTGCATCGGCTTCAGTTCAAAGTATAGCTGCCGATGAAGAGAATCTAGATTCGGCTTCAAGCGATGAACCTGTGCAATATGGAATGAACGAGCTTCATGACAGTTCGGTATGAATGATCTTAAACTCATTGTTTTAATGTAGTCTCTAATGTTCTTTTTGTTTGCTCTTTGGTGCAAATGCTACCTTAGACCGTATAATTTCTCCATCTCAAAATAAATGTCCACAATCAAAAAGACAGTTTTGGAAATATGTAATTATTACACTTTTTAATTAAAATAACAATTTTACCCTTAATAGTAGAGAGAGTAATGGATTTCTCTCTCATGTATGTAATTATCCTTTCATTTCTTCTCGTGATTGTTTTTTTAAAGGATGATAACGAGAGTATCCAAGGTAAGGGCCGCAAAAGAGGCGCTCCTAGAGGAAGAGGTCGGGGATCTACTCCTGCTAAGAGGGGAAGGAAATCGGACAACTCTTCATCCTCGATCCAACAACTGATGATGAGTAAAGATGACGATGACGATGATGATGATGTGCCAAGGAGAAACAAGCCTCCGACTCAACCCCGGGTAAGTGATGTGTTTACGCAAATATTCGAGCAAAAGGTTGATTACTGTCAATCTTGATCGACTCCACACAGGACCTGTCCCCTAGGAACCACATAAGGAGGCATATCAGAGCTGACTCAGCGGTTAAGGCTAGCGGAGGGGTTCGACTCCTCCTATAGCATTTGAACTTGAACCTGTTGTGTATTTGAGCAAAATCGGTCCACCCTTTTGCCAACTGAGCTACAGACCTAAGGCCTGAGTTGCACTCTATTTACCTAACGAAACCAAAAGAACCCAGTATATCCCATCAAAAGGTGGGGTCGGGAAGGGCAAGATGTATGCAGATCTGACCTTTACCTCCACCCAAAAAGTAGTGAGGTGGTTTCCTTGAAGACTCTTTGCTAGTGCATAGTGTGGAAAAAAAAGATATACAAATTATAATTGCAGAAAAAGAACGTAAAGTATTTGAAAAAGAAGTGTTAAATTTTGAGAGACGAGTTAGAAGTAAGCAACCAAAAATCAAAACAGACAAACAAACAAAACATGCAATGCTTTCTGTTGGCAGGCTTTTTATGAGTATGGGGTCTTTACGGAAATAGTCTCTAATCCTCGGGGTACATCTTACCCTCCCAGTCCCTCAAACCCTACTTCATGTAGGATTTAATAGGGGTTTGGTTTGGTTTGGTTTTCTGTTTTACCCTTTGCAGAAGTTTCACATATTTTTGGTCAGATAACTGAAAGACTTTGGGCCATTTATCAAACACTTACCCGGGGTAAGCGCTTACCAAGTCACATTACCTCACTGGATGAATATGGTAAGGACTAAGGATCTTACCCGGTAAAAGCGAGACAAGGACCATGAGTCTTACCCGGTAAGTGAGGGCGACGACTCTTACCACGGTAAGCGCTTACCGGGTGAATTGTTGTATAGAATGTCGTTTTGATAGACTAAAATCTTACCCGTTAAGTAAATAATAGTGTTAAATTTTACCGGTAAGCACTTACCGGGTAAGTGTTTGGTAAGCGGCCCCGAAGTTTTCTTTCTATTAACCTGACTACTACTCTTTATGCAGGTGACAAGGAACTATGGTGCCTTAAGGAGATAAGTAGTGGATTTTCTATGTACAATCCAGGCAGTTTAGTCACTGATTTATAACAAAGGAAACATCATGTGTAAAAAGTCAGAATTGCCCTTGTTTTCGACGACCGTCTTCGATATGGTGTTATTTACTTCGGCTTTTACAGATTGAGCGTATTTGGACGGGTGACATCTTGTGTTGCACCCCTGTTTGTTTCGTACACTTTTAACAAGCTTGAGGTGTTTACAAAGATAACTGTACCTTTACTATTGGCATAGACGGACCTAGAGTAGAGCATACGGTGGCACGTGCCATTGTATTATTCCTCCGTCGAAGGGTAAAAGTTTTTAGGTTTCTGAAATGTGCAACCGTATTAATTTGTTGTGTGCCACCGTATGTATTTTGAAACTACAGTGAGAACAAGTTTTATTTGGTAGGGTTGGTTTGCAAGGCTTTTGTTCCACCCCATATTCAAGTTCGAATTATGTTAGTGTCGTTTTCTTAGTCAAATGGTGCCACCATTTGAAAAAATTTCCTTATAATTTTTTTTTCTTAAAGTCAAACGGTGTCACTATTTGGAAAAATTTACGGGTCTCTTTCTGTCTTTTGGGTAAAAAATGACAAAGTTTGCATACATTTGTTGGGGTAAAGGTAAAAGGGTGGTATCTTTACAACTGCTAATTGTGTGAACGAGAGTAGTAGTAGGACGGGTGATGTAGGAAATTCTTGTGTTGCACCTCTTTGTTTCATGCACTTTTAACAAAGCTCGACTCTTCACAAAATAACTATACCTAGAGGTGCAAATGATGCGAATCATGTTTGAGTATAACTATACTCGAACTTGAAACCCAATTTACTACCTCAAACTCGCGAGTAGTAAAAATCGAAGTTCGACTCGAACTCGATAACTATTTCTCAAGTTTGAACTCAGTTCGAATCAAGCTCGAACTGCAATTCAAATCAAGCTTGAACTCGAACTCGAACATAAATCAAGCTTAAACCAAACTCATCCATTGAAATTTATGAAATTTTAGGGTATTTTTCTTATAAATTTTAAAATTTAAAGGTGTTCTCTTAGTTTTTATAAAACCAAAGAGTTCAACTGCAAACTTCATCATCAAAAAAACCGAAGTTAAAAATTCCATTCACCCCCTCTTTTTATAACATATTTTCTCACTTCTTTTACTATCTCTCTTCCATTGTGGGACAATTTTACTAATCCTTTTTATAGTTTTTAGTGATTTTAATAAAAAATAATTAATTAATTTTTATAATTAAAAATGTATAATTTTGTTTAAATATCTAAAAATATAAGACATTTTTATCATTTATATTTTACAAATTTTATCATAAAAACTGATTATATTTTAAAACTATTTGTATATAAAATAATCGAGTATCTCACGAGCTTTTCGAGTCGAATATTAAGTAGCTTGACTCGGCTCGTTAATATATCAAGTCAAGGGTTGACCGAGCTTTGACCGAGTCGATCTTGAGTAGCTCGCGAGTTGTCTCGTACCGTTTACACCCCTAACTGTACCTTCACTTTTTGAGCTAAATGATAACTTTACATAATCTCATTAATCTATCAATTGTAAATTGTATCTTTACAACCGTTGTAAACTTATTCAACAAAATTTCATTAATGCAATCGACTCGACACGCCCGACATCAAACTGGTTCGAAAAGTTCCATCAAGTAAGCCGTCGATAATCTATTTTTCTTCGTTTCAAAAATTTTGGATTCATAAAACGATGACAAGCCAAATTTTTGCAATTGGACAATGTACAAATGTAATTTTTTTTTTGATTAACCTGGATATCCAACCCGCTATGTGAGCCGACTTCTGCTTTGCAGATATCCCGGAGTCACCGCATTTGAACCTCCATGGCCACAAGGGGATTTTTATTCCTCCTTGGATTTGAACTTGGAAGTGATACCAAGGGCCGTTTACCAGATTCTTATCAGGCAGGTGTTTTACCATACTGGGTGACATGACAAGGAGCGAGATCCTTATCAGGTGAGGAAGAATGACTCTTACCCGGTAAGAAACGATTACAAACAATACATTTTGATAGCCAAGAATTTGACCCGACAAGAAAACTGGCCCCCTATATTCGGGCCGAGGGTGGGGGCGGGAACCATTTCTTCGGATTCAATATCAAGTAATACAAAATAACAAGATACACTCGATGGGTGCAATCTCCTCTGTTAGAAGGGATGAATACTAACAAAATGTGAGTAACCCATAATCAGGAAGAGATCTTGCTGCTACACTGAAGTTTACGATATGTACTTATGTCAAAGTCTGCTACCGAAAGTAGACCTTACGAGCTGGATTGGCGGTATCCTTATCTTTGCTTCGGTTGTTGGTCGTTTCCTGCTTCAAGAAACTCACCAAGTGAGAAAAAAATGGAAGATTGTTTGAAGTAGCACTTTCGATAGACGATGGGATGAAGATGCATGTTTTGACATCACGGTTCACGTATGAAAAACGAAAGCAAGGGAACAGTGCGCATTCATTCTTTAACATGCGTGTGTTTGGTAAGCTGGACATTGCAGGACAAAAAACTTGTCCCGTCTATAAAGTGACATTAGACTGGGATGCATGGGACAAAAAAACCCAAAACAGAAGGAACAAAAATCAACAAGATTAACCACAAGGGTGGTGCCCGATTGGTTTGAGCTTGACTCCAAAGGTCAAAAGTACCAGGAGGTTCCAAGTTCAAATCCAAGGAGGAATAAAAATCCCCTTGTGGCCACGGAGGTTCAAATGCGGGACTCCGGGCTATCTGCAAAGTAGGTGGTCGCCCTGGGATTAGTCGGCTCGCATAGCGGGTTGGATATCCAGGTTAATCAAAAAAAAAATCAACAAGATTTGACAATGTCAAATAAAAACCCGGAATCCTTCACCCGCCTACCTTACTCTCGCACGTTCAGTCCGGTCCGTGTAGCAAACACAGACATCTCTAACACCAAAACAATATCAAACCTTTTGTACTGAAATCTGATATCTAGAGGCAAAAGAATTATTATTTGTGGTTACATTTGGAAAGTATAGGCTTGATCAACTCTTTTTATGGGATGAAGGGACCGTACACATGGATATGATTCATCTTACGCTATAAAGGATCCAAATTCTGTGGCACAAAAGATGTATAAAAGATCTAGTGAAACGGGCTATATGCAATCACACAAAAACAACAGTAAGTGAGGAAGCAAAGCCTACAAACAAAAAGAACCTTATTGTGTACCTTTAGGCCAATTAGCTTTATACCGCCATTCTTCTGTGTTAAACTCTGCTTAGAAGCTCTCTGCACATGCCCCATGGACTGAGCTGCCTTATCACTAGATTTAGTCTTCTGACTGGTAGCCATTGTTGCCGATGCAGTTTCTTTAATACCAGTCAAGAAAGTAGTACGCCTGCCAACGCCTACTTTCCCAGCTTCTTTATCAACCATTTGACGCTGTTCATTAACCTTGTGTGGCATCAGAACCTTTCCAACCGATGTATGCTGTTGAACCTGCAAGGTTTGAGATACAATTTAGACTTGCATTTACACACACAACTCCATCCTAAGTTACATGATACTAAATAATTACTTCAGAACAGATAATTACTTGGCCTATATATAGGGCACGTTTAAATGAGAACCGTATACATCTAGAGAGCCTGAGAACCAACTATTCATGAGAGATATTCATCATTAATAATGAAAATCATGATATTCATGGACACTTTAGGGTTATTTATCATGAATAAATCTTAAATAGTTGGTTCTCGGATCCTCAAAATATTTACTGTTCTCATTTCAACTTCCCCTACGTATATGTTAGTATGCATCATCATTAACAATCTCACATTCTCAAAAACACTTGAATTTAAGCCATTACCAAGTACAATTTTAGCATGCTGAAATATTTGTTATTGATCATAAAATACATATTCTCACCACCTTTGCTTACCTTTCCCTTGGTTGTTACTTTGGAAGCGAGAGTTTTATTTCCTTGTCTATTAGATAGATTACGAACATTTGATGCAGGGGCCTTCGTCGCATTTGGAGCTTTTGACTTGTTCCTTGGTGGTTGAGAGACTCTTGCAACATTTATGCGATTGCGAGTTATGAGTTTGTTCTGTGCATCTCCAATAGTGATTTTCTTACTGACAGAACCCTGGTCCAAAGGGGAACCCACACTTGATTTATTTGAAGATGATTTGCAGCCTTCTGACTGCCTCCCACCATTTGCTACCACCCTTGCAGCTGGTCTTGTGGCACAACTTCTTCTGAGACTGATCCTCAGGGATGACAAAAGCCCACTAGTTTGGCTTGATGTTTGAAAAGAAACCTCCAAGCCCTTATTTTCTTGGCGTTCACTGCGATCAAACGTAACAGTGCTCTGTGAACTGTTTTCCTGTTCTTGTTCCTGTCTTGCTAAAGAGCATGAACTGGATTTTACGAACTTTGGCCGAGAGGTGTCAGTAAGACCACTTTCGCAACTGGAACATGCTTTCAAGCCTTCATTTTCTTTTACTTTTCCGGTCCTCGAAACTGGTTTTTCCGTGTTACTTGATTCTATGCTCCTAGAAGACTTACTAATTAAGGCCTTGACTGGATGTTGCTTATTGGAGGTAGCCATGCACCTTCTCTGTCCCCATTCCTTGGTTTTGTAGCTTTTACCTCTCGATTTTGAGACCGATGAAGGGAGCTTCGGAGAAGATGGTTCCTGTACGCTTATCGAGTTTGAACCCCCTGCCTTGCCAGAATGGAACACTCTAGAAAGTAGCTGGCTTGAAGAACATTGATGGAACCTATAGATATGCCATTTTAGTATATAGCAATTAACTTGAGATTATACCACCAAATCCAACTGAAACCAGAAGCAAGTAATTCTTAGATGCTTACTGATGGCTTATGTCGAACCATGGATCATCACTACAACAAGACAATAGATAACATTCGATTTAGCAGATGGAATCATAGAATATAGAATCATCTTCAACCTTGAACAAACTTATTGAACCATTGCAAACTGCAATATCTAGCTAAAGTAAAAGGAGATACTCACATCTCATCATTGATCAAATCGCATAAACGGAGATCAGCCCACATCGGTGCTTCGATTTCCTCCTGCACAGTACCGAGAAACAATGTTGTAACTCGTAATAGTGATGTGAATAGATAGAAATACTTCCTATTCTGCCCAATCTAATACAAAAACATTCCAGATGATTATAAACAATAACTTGAGATCTCACTCCAGATGATAATAAACAAAATCGCATGAATAATAATACAATCGAGATTCGAGATTATGAAAAATAACCTAAAAAACCTACTTTTATATCGAATATTATAACCGTTTCTGGATCTCATTACAATACTTACCAGAAAATCCCAATGGTCCATCGAATCTGTGTTCTTTACTACATCAACCTCATTCTCGATGATTTTTCCACCGCCATCAATGGCAGATAATGCCATTTTTCTATTCGTTTTCGATTCCATAAACAACTCTTTGAATTTCTCTACTAGTGGAATCCAATCATCGAGTTCTTAGATGATTTTGATTTCTACTTCGATTGGATTACAACGAGCTTCTTCCCGAAACCCTCCATGAAATGCGTGGAAACGACAGCGTGTTGCTTTGGGGTTCTACATCGACCACCAGACCAGAGTGCCGTTAATCTTTAACGATTTTGAATGTTTATAAAAATGTATTACAAGCCCTCAAACTATGAGTTATGTTTATTTTAGTCCCTATATATATATTTATCTACATTCTCCCCTCTGTTTATTTATCTTATCAAATTTGATTAAATTTTGGGAATTTAAAATTTAATTCTGAATTTGCTTAAAATAGTTATGTACCATTTTTAACTAGAACGAGTAAACCCGCACACTCTTCTCTTCTTTGGTGAGGTTTGAACTCCTAACCTCCTACGAGACCAAATACTCACATATCACTAAGCCAAAGGCCCATCCACACACACTCCTCTTATTTGGTGAGGTTTGAACCCCTGACCTCCTACGAGACCAAATACTCACATATCACTAAGCCAAAGGCCCATTGGTAACATGTTTTTTAGTCATTCTATATTTTTCAAGTAGCTTATTAGCAAAAAAAAAAATACAAACATAACTAGTTTATTAACTAACTGCTAGTTTTTCAACCAACAACTAGTATATCAGCTAGTTTGCCAATATAGCATACACGAGACATGTTTTTGGTCAAAAAAAATTTAAACAACTGTAATTCTTAATAATATATTATTAGTATATGATAAGTGAGATAGGTTCAAATGAGAACAATAACCAAATAAAAGAACTTGAAAACGGCTAAATCACATGTGATTTCGTACGTGATTTAGCTGTATCCAAAAGTGATATTAGTGTAAAATCACATGTGATTCGTCAGTATTCCAATCTTATTTGGTTACTGTTCTTATATAAACCTGACTATATTCTTAAGATATTAAACTTTTACCATATCCGAGAGTATATTAAATCAAGAAATTGGAGATAGTTGGGACCAAATTCGACTCTTAACAAGTGGCACCTCCGTAACTTGCAGAGGAGCTAAAAGACAAACAAAATTTCACTTTTCACTTAGATCCGCAAGTGGCACTATTCATCTCTTAGTCATTTCTCATCAGAGATTTCCATAATATCATTACCTCTGCAAGTGGCACCTCCGTGACTTGTGGAAGAGCTTAAAGACAAAAACAAAATTTAACTTTTCATCCAGATCCGTAAGGACACCTCCGCAAATGGGTGAAAAGTGAATGTTTTTTAGCTCCTCCACAAGTCACAGAGGTACTACTGACCGAGATAGGAATATTTTGAAAATTCCGTAAAAAATGGCAGAGGTTGTTTGTTTACCTCTTAATAGTTCTATTAAGAGGCAACATTTGAAACTTTAAGAGAAGAATCTTGTTTGGCAAAAAAAAATCTATCTCTTAATGGTTCTAAAACCCTCTTAATGATTTTGTATGTTGAGTCTCCCTTAACCATTAAGCGCCCTAATTTCATGGTAAACAATTATCAGACAATTATATTTTATTTTGTACTATATAATGAGAGTCTCTTGATTATTCTGATCAATTAATCATTCTGCACCAAACCATTCAACAACTGCCAAATAACCCCTAAAGATGAACTTGAACCTTAAAAATAACTATTTCTCTTAATTTCCCTATTATACACAACACACAAAAATAAAAAAGAAATATATTCGTTCTTTCACAGTTTTTATAGAGCATATGATGATGTATAACATTCTGAAATGCCAAATTTGATTTCATAATGCATCTGTCTAAACAAGAAGCATGAACCCAAACCTACACACATTCGGCCGCCCCGATCCCGCTAGGGGATGCCGCCAGTCGGCTTCTTCACCGGTTTATTGGCATACATCTTTGTCTTTGTAATTACACCCGAATCACACAACAACGAATCACCATCTTGACGATCCATCAACAACACAATCATCATCGATACTAGATTCTCTTGCTCAACTTCCCCCACCATGATTGCCGTGCTCGTTTTTCACTACCGCCTCCTTCGCCATTTACGCCCTTTCCCAGTTTTGCCCTTGTCTCCCGTAACCGATTCTTGTACTCTTTCTTCCACGTATCAAATCTCTGTTTTACCCTTTTGAATTCTTCCATTTGCTTCGAATACGGCATATTTCCTGACTTCACCTCAACGATGGCTTTCGCATCATCCTCGAAATTCCGTTTCTTTCGCTCCAACTCCTTTGCTAGCTCATCCACCGTGCTGCTATTGTTCCCGGACTCAACATTCGTGTTTCCATCGGGGTTTTGAGATTTGGGTGTGTTATCCTCGGAATCATCATCGTCTGCACCAAGGCTCTTCTTGGCTGCACCCAGACTCTTCTGCACCGTTACGAAGAACAAATCAAGATAATGATTGCTATAATGGGGGTAGGTTCGTATGAGCATTGTAAATAATTTGAGAACCTAAGAACCAACTACTATTCATAATGTATATACATGATATTCGTAACGAATATACATAATATTCATAACGAATATACATGATAACATTAATGATTATTCATGATGAAGATACATGAAATTCATGGTAACATTCATGATTATTCATRATGAAKATACATGACTATTCATGATTATTCACGGTTATTCATCTTAATAGTGCATGAAAAAGTTATTCATCGGTTTCCATGTTCTCATCAAAATATTTATGGTTCTCATTCAGGGCCTCCGAGTCATTTTGCGTGTTAGAAAAAAGACTCTCCGCATTCAAAGAAGATACGAATTGAACTTTTCTCTGCTATAACAACTGATTTTAAAACTCACTTGTAAAGAAGCCATTTGCCGCTGCCACGTCTCCTCCACCGACTTCATTTTGATTTCGTGTTCCGACCACCGCACTTCGAATTGTCGTACTTGCTCCCTCAACGCGCTATTTTCTTGCTCTCTCTGGCTCAAAGACACTTCCGCCTTCATAACTAGCTTCTGCAGCTCTTCCACATTCGATGGCAAAATTTGGATATTTTCTTGCGACATATTCTATTATCGTGTACACAGATCAAAAAAACGTTCTTAGACCGTTTTCTTTTTCTTTTTATCGAGTTCAAGAACATGAAATACCTTCACTTCTGAAACTAGACTACGAGACTTTTGCCTTGTTTTTGGACTATCAGCTGACGACTTCCAACTCTGCAAATGATTGAAATTCCTTCGAGCCAACCACCCACGAATAACTGTGAAAACAAGATGAACGAACGTAACCATTTGAACCGCAAAAGATTTCAAAAAGTAAAAAAGAACAAAAGAAAGAAGCAGGCATGGCAGGTACCCGATTGTATATGTACAGCTGCAGTCAAATGCTCATCCGGTGATCTTGGTGCAATCTGGTGACTCGATTTCTTTAAAACGTTACACCCCCTTCTTGAATTTTCACCACGTACAACTGCGCACAAGTTCAATTCTTTAAAAATCAATTTCTTTTGTAATGATAATAACAAAATAATAACGCTATGGTTGTTTGCTTTCTTTTTTTCTATAAAGCTCTGTATGGGTTAAGTTGTCTGTTTGGATAAATTTGTCTAAGGGACGGGAGACCAATGGGTTTGTGGGAGGCAAAAAGAGAAGGTTGGATTATTTCAGAACATTTATGGTATTAGTTTGTTTGAGGTGGTTTAATGGGGACAAAGTGATGGGTTATAGCCATTTTGGCCTAATGGCTTAACAATTAAGCCGTAAAGAAACACTCGTGTATGGCTGAACAAATAAGCCACACAGACCACTAAGCTCATTAAACTGTATATAAACAACCCCATATTTTTGCATACTAGCTAATAAGCTAAATGCCTACATGGCAATGTAAAATGACCTAAAGGGACATGTTGAAAAATTAATTGAAAAAAAGCCCCAGGAGGTTATTGAAACGCTACTTGAAGTACAGTTTCAAAAAGCTAGCTTATGGCTAACTAAACGGGGCTTTTTCAATAAGCTCAAAAAATAAGCCATCTAGCTTATGGGTTGCCAAACATGGCCTAAGTAACTTCAACTTTGGAAAGAAAAGTTAGCAACTTTCATGGCACATTTCTTACATGATTGCAATGTGACAATTCCCGACATTAATTCATGGAAGTCACGATGAACAGAACAGCCGTTTTCCGCCTTGTATGTGCCTTGCATAACTTCTTGTCTCCGTTTCTCTAATACACCAACCTATTTATTACCCACAAAACCACACCAATGAAGCGAATCTATAGCAAAACCAAATATGATACAACAAGGAAACAAGATCCAGAAAAACATCAATTGCCATCAGCTTGCATGGTTCGATAGTGAATTTCAGATAGACACAATGCATTTCGTGCGCAGACAGACGTGACTACACGAGCGAGAGTGAGGCAGGTGAAAGAATTGTGGAAAGTTTTCAGGTTTTAATTTGACATTGGTAATTTAGTAATTTACCAATCTTGTCCATCTCCCTTACTTTTGTTCCACATATTTTGGTGGGACAGAAAAAATGCATTTTTGTCCTACTCATGGGCTGTTCAGTTGTTTTTTCATTAAGCCCTGTTTCAATTAAGCTGTCTGTGGGGATTTAGGAGCTGTTTGGTTGGTTTTCTATTATGGATAAAGTTGTTTGTGTGGATTAATCTGTCTGTATAGATTGGAAAGGCTTTTGCTTGGAGGGTTTTTCGTTAGATGGAAGGAGGGTGTTCTTGAATAAGCCACTTTCTATATCATTAAGCCACTACCAAACAATCATAATAGCTGACCGAATAAGCTGTGAGTCCCCTTAAGCTCATTAAGCTGCTAACAAAGGCACTTAGTTGTATGTATGGAAGGAGAGGGATGGAGGAGAAGAGGATAAGAGCAAGAAAGGAAAAAAGTTGGCTTAATGGATACAAAACCCTTCACCCAGCTAAGCAAATAAGCCACAACCGAACAACCTTACTGAATAAGCCATACAGCCCATTAAACCATTACCAAACAGCCCCTTTGTCCAGTCCCAATCCAATTGTTGCAACAAACACACAACAACAAGTTTTTGTTCTGTCCTGCACTTTTTCTCATACCAAACACACCCAAAAAGAACTAACCTGTTCTGCTCGGAAATATAGTTTTGTATATCCAAGTTGGTACATTTCTGGGAGGACATGATATTGCTGTAGAATAGCAACCGATATACTGAGCGGATCCTGACAAAGAGTATTCTCCGAAAGAAGGCAGCCAAACCTAATAAACCATCAAGATTTTAATAAAAACGCTTCTTAACGATCATTAGAGAAGAGAAGCAGTAGTAAAGTATCGACTTTTCACTCACCTGGTAGCAAATTCTTGATGTGTCATACATGTAGGATATCGGGATTTTGAGATTCTCACCGTCTCCAAAACCCCACCGCACCTGAGCTGTTGCAAGACGATATCTTTTTCATACATTCCGTGAAGTTGCTTAGCATTCGGTCTTATGCATCGAATGAAGTGCGGTTTTGAATTTTCCAACTGTTGAATCATCTTGAACAATTGGCCCTGCAACCATCCAAGATAATCTTGATATGAATTTGGCTTCTATACTCCCAGAGGCTGCGTTTGGTATCCAGACAGGATAAGATAGGACAGAACAGGACAGTCATTCAGTGTTTTAAGACAAAATTGGACAAGCCGGAACAGATAAACTAACCAATTTACCCATAATGAGTTGTTAATTTTTTACCTTTTGATTAAGTTATCTAATTTATTAAATTATAATGAAATAAATATCTTTTATAGCAAAATATATCATTAGAAAGTTTTCGTCAAAATGATTAAAATGACACCAAAATAAAAAGTCTATGTACTTTCCAATTTTTATTTTATACTTTTTCAATATTATTTTATTATGAATAATATATAATAAATTATATAACAGTAAGACAAAAGTTTAAAGAACATAAATTAAAATAAATAAAATTTAAAAATTGAATAAAATGTAAAGAATGAGGCATAGTTGATGTTTTAGAACAGAATTAGGTTTTATTTTGAGATTATATTGGTAAAATATAAATATGCTCCAGCTTGTTCCACTATGTTTCTATCTATTCCACATAAAAGTCCTGCCAAACATGGAATAGTGATCCATATTCTGTTATGTCCTGTGTACCAAACACACCCATACGGACTACAGAAAACACTCGGCTTGCCCACAAAAATCTTTACCTTGAACTTCGTTCCAACAGTTTGTTTATCCAAATCCGACTCACTTGATCCAAAATTATCGCAGCACGACAATAGAAATCGGATATTATCCGATTGGAGTATATCTCTGTTCTTTTCCAAGAATCCATTTGTTTCATATCGAACCTACAAAAGCTCATATTTTGGTCACTTGTTCCCAAACAAAGATATTTGACACAGAAATACGACCTGACTAACCTCTCCAGCATAATGACGAACCCTGAAAGCTCCTCTTTCGCCATTAAAGCTCAAATAAGAACTCGAGTTCTGTCTAACCTTATTGGCAAAGATCAAATCTGTGCATTCCGATGTATTTGAAGCTTCATCTAGAATAGATATTATCCCCACAGTTTTCTGCACGATGGAAAATAAATACAACTTTCAACAAACTTCACATTGCAAATGTTCTTCTAACTTGAAGTTAAAAGGAAGGCTAAGAATCAATACCTTCTCAAAGAGATTTAAACATTCTTGGTTATCAATGAACTCTACCTTTTTCCAGTCGATTCCCTCGGATTCATACTCCTAAGAATAGAGTAACCGTGATTAGAATCTTGAAAAACTGAGAGTAAAGAGAACCCACAAAAAATACGAACGATTCTGACCTCTTGTTCTAGCTTAAATAGATGTCGAATGAAATGTTGATGCAGCCTCTCATCAGCATAGTTGATTAACAATTGTTCAAGGCTATTTTTCTGAAAAATCAGAAATGAGCTTATCGTGAAGAGTTTTCAAGTAAAAGCGTTAGTGTCTCACATCGGCTAGGCTTGGACCAATTATCTTCGATATATGTTGGAAACTCTCTTATCTCCTCAAGGGCTCTTTTGGAGATTAATCTAGGGGTTCCACGCATTCTCACATGGTATCATAGCCAAGGTCTACCATTCTGGGGACTCGACACCCTGGGGCAATCTTTACTTGTCTAGCCCCCTCTCCGTTGGAAAGGGTATGTTAAAAAGTCTCACATCGGCTCTTCTAGTATATCTTGGAACCTCCCTTCTCTCCTCAAGGGCTCGTTTGGAGATTAATCTCACATGGTATCAGAGCCAAGGTCTACCATTCTAGGGACTCGATACTCTAGGGCAATCTTTATTGGTCTAGCCCCCTCTCAAGCCTGAGTTGGAAGGGGTGTGTTAAAGTCTCACATCGGCTCTTCTATGTATCTTGGGACCTCCCTTCTCTCCTCAAGGGATCTTTTCGAGTTTATCTGGGCATTCCACATATTCTCACAAAAAATAAGAATTTCCAAGTTCAAATTACCTGAAATGACTCAAATCCATAGGTGTCTAGAATGCTTATAGACCTTCCCATATGTTCCTTGTCACCCTCAAGTGATCTATTAATTGCTTCCACAACCCAGCTAAACAAGCTTGTGTAAACAAATTTAGCCAATGCATCTCTTGTATCAATTGCCTAAACAAAACACAGTTCGAGGTTTTAAATTTATTTAGAATAATATGAAATAACTTCAAGTACGCTTTCCACATGAATCTATAAATATAACCTGAGGCAAAGTGAAGTTTTGGGGCATATCAGATTGGTTTCTGTTGGTAGACAAAGCCAACATGAGGTCCTTCACCTTGCAACCCATCAACCTAGCCGCACTTCGACTAGCTGTCGAAACATGAAAAACGGTCAAAACTATCTTTTCTTTTATTTTGACCATACCCATAAAATATCGAACATGTACTACAAAACTGAATCAAACTACTAATGGCCCGTTTTGTTTGCAGGATTTGGTGGGATTTGGAATTGGGTTCCAATCCAATCCCACATTTGGTTTAAGGGGAAGTCCGGAATTGAAATCCACAAACGTGGGATTTAGAAATCTTATGGGGTAGCTGGTATTTTCACAGGATTTCATACGATTTGTTTGTAATAATGTCGTAAAATATGATTAAAACACTTGTTTTGTAATAATCAATTAATAAAAGTAAGATGATATCGAGAACATACCTTCATCGATCATAACCTCAACATGATTTTCCTCGTCAATTATTTCAAACGATATATTCCCTAACCATAAAACCGCAGCAAGCAATTTGAACATACGTTCTTGATCTTCATAAGAAATTTGAAGGGCGTCCAAGGCTTCCTGGTTGAACATATATTCTTGTTAAAGTTCTACGTTCTAATTTAACAAATATATATTCTTGTTAATAATACCCATCAGTTTTTTGAAATTTTGGAGGTTACTCTTCGAATTTACCATCAGTTTCTTGAAATTTTGGGCATCATCAACACCATGGATTTTCAAACACCCACTTCGACTAAGAAACTTGTACTCGCTCGCCATTCTTAGATTCAGTTTATCTATAAAACAAACATGACAAAATGACCGTTAAACCCCTTAACATTCCAATGATCATGGGAAACCCAAATTTATGTTACCAACTATATGAGAACCAGAGAAAAGTTCGGTTGAGAACCTGTTTTTCGTTGAGAACCAGGGAACTACCCACAGCGTGCCACATGTCCCTCTTCAAGATGAATATTCATCATGAATCACACATTCATTTTGAATATGTTACAACATTCATGCTGAATATGTTACAGCATTCATGATGAATAACATGTCCATATTCCTGAATGAATATGCCACGTATCCCACTGTGAGCGGTCCCCGGTTCCTAATGAAAATCAGATTTCCTAACGGTACCCGCCCCATGAGAACCAATCTGTAAACTATCGGGATTAGAGCCACAAACCTCTCATATCAGACGGAGCCCCGGCACACATCTGGTAAAAGATATGGTACGATCTTTCACTACAGCCGAGTTGAGATATTCTCGACTGCTCAAAACAAAAAAATTACGTCAATAGGGTCATTCTTCCAATCAAAGCTCAAAGATAAATAAACAATAACACAAAATTAAGTACCTTTTCAAGAAGAACTGTTCACAATAAGACATATAAGACAGTTAGTAAAACTGAAATGGTGGTCAGTTGGTCATAAACAAACTTCAAAAATAAACAAGCTTACGCGTATGGATATAAGCCCCATAAACTATCCCCTTCGCATTATAATGGATATCAATTAATTTCCCCTGCACCACAGTAAATCCAGGTCAGACACCTTCACGGAATATTACTCATCAATTACTAAAAAAGATTTGAAACCCACAAATCGGCTAGAACTTCTGTTCCTTGAGGTTTTGGCATTCCCGAAAGCTTCGAGTATGCAGCCAGTTTGCCGTATTTTGCTTGCTATCTCGCTATTCTCGCCTCCTGCTCCTACCAGATACTGTATCGCTAAATTTGCAGTTACGCTCTTCCCAGATCCACTTTCACCACTATATCAAACACCAGTTTCAAAACAGATGTCCACAAAGAAAAAGGGCATGCAACTTTAGAAATGTGCAACTATTACTCTTTTTTAATTAACAAAATGACAATTTTACCCTTAATAATCGAGAGAGAGAGTAAGAGCATCTCCACTAAAGTGACTTATAAGAACCTCTTTTTTGCACCTCTTTTGGTCGCATCAGTGCCAACTCAACAAATTAAGAACTACCATAAAACTCCACAATGGAAGTGACTAATAAAAACTACCTTCTGTGAGTCCCATGTATTATTTCAACATCAATAATATATATAGAAATATATATATATATATAGAGAGAGAGAGAGAGGTTCTAGGGAAAACCCCCAAAAAATGAAAAACTGAGAAGCACCCTAATAACCGTTCATCTATATGGCATGCACATGTGCATACAAGTAATTAAAGATGTTCTAGGTTTCTATGCATGTATGCATACTGGAAATATTACTTACAAATTACTTGTATGCACATGTGCATACCATACAGATTAACGGTTATTAGGGTGTTCCTTAATTTTTCATTTTTTTGCGGTTTTCGCCTATATATATATATATATATATATATATATATATATATATATGTATATATATGTATGTATGTATATATATGTATGTATATATATGTATGTATGTATATATATGTATGTATGTATATATGTATGTATATATATATATATGTATATATATATATATGTATGTATGTATATGTATGTATGTATATATGTATGTATGTATATATGTATGTATGTATATATGTATGTATATATGTATGTATGTATGATGTCATTTCACACAAAATTCTAGGTAAGAACCAAGGTTCTTGTACAAGAATTCCAAAAATGTGGGTGACTTATAAGAACCATCTCCAATGGTAATTCTTATGTCACTACATATTTTGCCAATAAGAACCTCCCGTTAGAGATGCTCTAATGAATTTCTCCATCTCATAATTAAGAGCAGAATTGGAAATCAGACACTTACTTTTGAAAGTGGACCATTATATAGATACAAACTAAAATAGAAAAATGGACACCAATACAGATAGACTAACCTGATAATGATCGAGTGATTTACACCATCTGCATGTCGTCACAAAAAGGATATCAAACAAAATAATTAAACATTCTGATAATTAAAGACACCATGGACTCCACATATCACAAGCAAACTCACCTCTCCTCATATCACTGTAAGCAGCTTCGGCTACAGCATATACATGTGGGCTGTCCAAAATCTTCTCTCTATAAGCTGTGATAACATCACTTCCCGAAATCGAGACATCTTTGAAGGGATTGATTGCTAATAGAACGGGCCCCGCCATAGTCTGCAAATGCAAAGCAAGATTACAGATAAAGTAATCGAAACAAAACAATTACTCCCTCCGTCCCAAGCAAGGGGTTGTTTAGTTGGTTTTCCATTGAAGTCCTATATAGATAAAGTTGTCTTTGTGGGTAAATTTGTCTGTATATATTGGGATATTTTTGTTTGAGAGGGTTTTTCCATAGATGGAATGAGCATGTTTTTAATTTGGGAGGGGTAGGTTTTGAAAAAACTTGGCACTTTGCATAAAGCTCCCCCTAGAAGCTTATTGAATAAGTCGCTCTCTATATCAACAAGCCACTATCAAACAGTAATGTATAGTTGACCGAATAAGCTGTGAGTTTCATCAAGCTCATTAAGTTGCTAACAAACAGGCCCTTAAGTGTCCCACAATGAAAAAAGCACACAGTTTTAGGAATGTGAAAATACTACACTTTTAATCAACTAAAATGGCAATTTTATCCTTATGTTGTGTACTCGAAACCTTCTTTACGAAGGAAAGGGAAGGGAGGGAAAGAGGAGGAAAGTAAAAAAACTCGTGTTCTCAAAACTTTTTTAGGAGAGAAAGGAAACGGAAGGAAAATGATCATAAGTTTCCTCCCAATATTTCCCTCCCTTTCTTTTTCATCCCTTTCTTTTCTTTTCTTTTCTCCCCAAATTCGAGAACACGGCTTTAATAATAGAGGGAGTAATGAATTTCTCCATCTCATAATTAAGGGTAGAATTGGAAAGTAGACAATTATTTCTGAAAGTGAACAATTATTTTGGGACGGAGGGATTTCATATAGGCATGCAATAAGAGATGGACAACATGCATACATAAATTACATCACGAGCGTATCTATACTGGAGATTACATAGAACCGATGGCTCGTTCAAATAACCAAGCCCCACAAGATTATCCACACCGTCAAGAATTTCCATATTTGCCGGTAAAAGCTCTCCTGTAGACACCACCATGACCTACAAAACAATATGGAAGTGCATCCCATGTTAACGTGAATATGATTCACCAAAAAACTTAGCTTAAAAAGATCCGGGGTGAAGTAGTAGACTCACGGTTCCATCCAAGAGTGTAACGGATGCTTTTCCTCCCGAAGCTGATTGAATTTTTCCCAACTCCCATTGCCCATTTTGGAGCAGACACCACACCCGTAGTTGCTGAAACAAACCAATTTCACCTTTAACACTTACTGAAGTTTGAAAGATTGATTAACCTTATTTTATAGACCAAACGAGCACAATATATCCCACTCGAGTAGTTTCTGGAAAGGGTATGATGTATGCAAGCCTTGCCTCAACCACTAGGGTCGAGTGGTTGTCTCCAGGAAGACCCCCGGCAAAAGGGTGTGAAAGAAGAGAATAAGATAGGTAATAAAACAAGTAGGTAGAACATGTAATACAAGAAGAAACTAACACGAGGAGCCTATTTGCCTAATCTCTACCTTCCTCTCAAAACCCTTGGCGTCACCCACTACTAGATTATACTAAAGAGTCGACCAATCTAGTTTTGTGCATCTAAGATCTCACTCATATCAGATGTCATGTTCTCCGAAATGCCTAAAGTTGTGCCATATCCATCCTCAATTGGTCATCCCATGTTCTCCTAGGCATACCCCTCCTCCTCACCCCTCATGAACGCTTGTTTGTTAGCAGCTTAATGGGACTTACAACTTATTCGGTCAGCTATACATGACTGTTTGGTAGTGACACAATGATATAGAAAGTGGCTTGTCTAGTAAGCTTCTAGAGACGAGCTTTATGCAGAAAGCCAAGTTTTCCAACTTCCCCCTCCCAATTAAAAAACACGCTCCTTCCACATATGAAAAAACCCTGCCAAAGACAAATTAATCCACACAAACTGCTTTATCCATACAGGACTTCGGGGTTGTTTGGTTAGCTTTCCATTAAGTTCTTGTACAGATAAAGTTGATTGTGTGGATTAATCTATTCGTGTAGGTTGTGAAGGTTTTTGTTCGGGAGGGTCCTTAATAGATAGAAGAAAAGTCTTTTAATTTGAAGAGACAAAATTGGAAAAACTTGGCTTTCTACATAAAGCTCCTCCTAGAAGCTTACTGAATAAGTCACTTTCTATATCATTAAGCCACTACCAAACAGTCATTTTTAGCTGACCGAATAACCAGTGAGTCTCATTAAGCTCATTAAGCTGCTAACAAACAAACCCTAAGTATTTTATGACCATATTATCAAACATAAAGCAACAAGCAAACTGATCTTGATAATGGCAGCATCGAAAACCCAATCTAATGTGAATCGTTCGCCCCCATCCTTTTTATGTATGATTATATCCATTACGAATTAGATAGAATAAAAACCATATCAACAAGCATAGATGCAGGCAAATTGTTCAACCATTATTGTGTATGCAATTATTGATCATAGCTTTTCCTTCTTTTTTTGGGTGATGTAACCATCAACCTTTTTCAGCAACTTTTATCAACTTTAAAGATGAAATTGTGATCCATTTTATGTTCAAAATTCAGATAAGAACTTAGATTATAAAATGAATCAATTGAATCTATGAATTATAAACTAAAAATCATGAGTTATGATTACCTTCTTAATGAAATAATCAATGCTATTATCCCATCCAGAATACAGTGACGGTGGTGGAGGAGGAGGAGTGGCCAGGTGAGCACCGCCGTTCTCCGCCAATCTATGTTCATGCACCGCCGCCATCGTGTAGGGCGATTCACCAACCGCCGTTTCCAACACTTTTTTCCGGCCAAAACTCCCACCACCACCACCACCTCCTTTAAAATCTTGTCTTCTGATATCACCAACCTCCGGCAACACGACATCTCCGACGCCAAACATTGCCGGCACCGGACGCTTAGGAAGACGCGCCTTGGACGCCGGACGGGCCGGCAACGCCGGCGGCAAGTCCGTCGGCTTCTTGATATCTTCTTTCCGCTGGAGAGAGTCGAGCATTTCCTCCAAAGAACTCCGAACTACCAACGATGGCGTAACTGATATCATTTTTTTTCCTCGAAATCACAATCCACCACCAGCCACCGATCAAATTGAAATCAAAAACCACTAAATCGACGTTAAAAGAAATTAACCATCGTCTTCAATTTTCGAACAATGCCGATTAGAACGACATTGCCGGAAAAGAACTTTAAAACCCTAACCGAATTCAGATCAAAATTCAAGATTAAAAAAACCCAAGTTCCAACAACAACAAAATAAGGGATTCAAGATTCAAATTCAATTCAGTTTGAACTTAACTAAACATAACCTAACCCAGACAACTGAAGATTTCATGGAAAACTAAATTGGGGATGAACAAAAACTTTCAGATTTATCAAACAAGGCATGAAACTATGAGCTGTAAAAGAAACAAATAATGATTATTTAGGTCTTATGTGGGGAAGAAAGTGAAGAAATCGTCGGATAAAAGCAAAATCAGAGGTGGGTTTTGTGGGAAGATCGAGGGTTCTTGGTTTACAGTAATTTGTAGTTCCTCTAAAAGCACGATTTACAAGATTTAGACGATGAATGGTGGTCAGACCCAGATAAAGAAAAGGCAGATGAATGGCAAAAAGAAGAAAGCATGTGTCGTAAAAACAATATATGTCGTGGCTGATTGTAGATTCTATTGTACATATCTATATCTATATATCTTGTAAATTAGAAATAGAAAATTGGGGATTTCAGAAAATTGGGGAAAAAGGAAATATGATTTGTCTGTTTGTTGCTTAAAGCGAAATTTTGAATTCATTCAGGTTGGTGGTAGTGGCGGGGGGGTGTGCTCGCAGCGGTACCATAATCCGTTGGGATCTGATTTGGTTTATTTCAATTTCAAATTCAAAATCATTTTTTTATTGAAATAAATATATATCAGATTTGTTACATACAGATTTTTTTCTATTTTTGTATCTAAGATGTAAAGTTTTTAAACATTTAAGCATCTAGGTAACCGAATGAAGAATTAATCGGTTACCATATTGATATGGTATCCGGTTAATGTTTTAGCAAATAATACTAAATTGGATACCACACCACTCGTCACATGCTTATTACGATATTCTTTTTAACATCTAAAAATGATATTTTTTTGTCGAAAGGAGTTTTATAAATGTTAAGGGAGCTTTATTCAAACGCTTACCCAGTAAGTGATAATCCGTAAGAGTCTAACACTATAACTTACTTTACCGGGTAGGATTGTAGCTAATCAAAATGGTATCATATGTAATAATTTACACGGTAAACACTTATTGGGTAAGACTGTTCATCCTTGTTATTGCTCTTACCAGGTAAGATTCTCCTTCCTTGTCATGTTCAACGATAAGCTAAAAAACAACTACTCAAACGCAAGTCTTTTATACAAAGACGAGCATTTACCATCTTAGTCATTAAGTTTTATAATAACATTTACGTTTGAAAAATTATATAGTGTCACCTAACAAACAGTAATTTTTTCCCTTTACAATGAAACGATGGCCCAACGCCTATCCAATAAGAGTTTACAGTAAAAGTCAACACGTTAACTTCACTTACCAAGTAAAATTTTAGTCCATTAAAATGACATCATATGCAACAATTTATCCAATAGGCGCTTATCAGACAAGAGTCATTACTTATCCTATGGGACTTTTGGTTCTTATAATCGCTCTTATCAGATAAGATTCTCAATCCTTGTTATATTCATACAATAAAGATAAAATGACCTGATAAACATTTATCCAATAAATATTTAGCAAACCACTCACGATTCCTAATTTCAATATATACCAAAAATAAACAAGTAACTAAAGGGCTTTTGGCATAGTTGGTTTGTGAATCTTTGGCCTCCTAGGAGGTCAGGGGTTCAAATCTCACCAAATACTAAGATGATGTGTGATTTTATTTGTTCTACTTGTTGTATATAAATATTATATACTTAAAAAAAATTAGTAGATATGTTAAACCTATACTATATTATAAAACATTTGACAAAGTACAACTTATTAAAGCTTAATTTTTGAATTCGTGTAACTAACTGCAGATAAACATAATCAAATAGAGGATAAACATCTCATTTTAAAATATAAAAATTCTAAAACTATAATTAGAATAATTATTGGCTTATAACAAAATAACTAATTTTTATCTTTATAAGAAAATTATATTATTAAACCAAATATAAATTACTTCGTTATTGAACCTAAATTAAATTATAATAAAAATTTGAACTAAAAAATTACACAAAAAATAGGAATTTTAAATAGTTAATTTGGTACTAATATCGATATATTTTTGTCAAATTTTTATAATATCTTCAAATTTATATTTTATTCAAAAATAAAAACATCATCGTTTTTTTCAAAATCACATAAGACTATACTATAACATCGACTGAAATAAATAATAAAATATTAAAATCAAGATGTATCTTGATGTATTGTGCGAGTATCCTTCTAGTAATATAATAAATACAATTAGAAAGAGAGTTGTGAATCTTTATTGTCGGGTGTGATAAGTCCTTTTATTCCTGGCTTCCTATCATAACTCTTCACCTGAAACTTGCTTTTTTCATTTATTGCTATTTTTATTACCTTTTTTCTGTTTAAAAAAAAGTACTACATTTATTTTATACTTTTAGATTTTTTTTTAAATACATCCATTTTATTTTTAAAAAATCATGCAATTTTACCGGTATTCTGTAAATTAAGGAGTCGTTTATCTAAAAGTTTTTTGATAAACTAGAAGGATACTTGAGCAATGCAGCAAAATAAATCTTAATTTTAATGTTTAGTTTTTATCTTTTGTCTCTATCGATATAGTACAATTTTACGTGGTTTTAAGAAAGCGACAATATTTTTATTTTTTAATGAAATATAAATTTCAAAAACATAAATCGATATTAGTATCAAATTAACTATTTAATAATTCTTGTTTTTTTTCTTTAATTCAATTTTTACTATAATTTAATTTAGATTTAATAATAAACTAATTTATTTTTTGTTTAATAATATAATTTTTTTATAAAGATAATAATTAAACATTCTGTTAAAACTCAACGGTTATCTTAATTATGTTTTAGATTTTCTATATTTAAAATTGATGTTTATCCTATGTTTGATTATGTTTGTCTGCAGTTTGTTAAACGAATTTAGAAATTAAGCTTTAATGAGTTATACTTACGTAAAATTACTTGTAATCCTCAATTTTTAAGTAATATGCATAAATAAACAGTATTTTATGCAAAAAAAATGGTTTTAAGAGTTTTTGTAAAATGTTTTATAATGTAGTATAGATATTTATCAGTAAGAGTCAATATTTTCTCTTATCTTACCGAGCAAGGTTCTTATCCATAAAACAATGTGTAACAAATTACCTGGTAAGTGCTAACCTGCCAAGTGTCGTCAGCCTCACTTATCAGGTAAGACTTCTCAATCTTGTCATTGTTTTTACCAGTAAGATTTTAGATTCTTGTCATGTTCGTTTAACAAGGTAAATGACACAATAAATACTTACTTAATAAACGTTTAGTAAATGACCCTTGATTATGCTTATTAAAAAATACTGAGTCGGGGAATTTTGTAGGAGTAAATTACAAAAACTGTTTCATTTAGTTTACGAAAACTCTGGTTTTTTTTACTTGACTTACGAAAGTAGACACTTCATAGCTTGATATTGTTATAGAATTCATCCCTAGCCATCAATGAATTAAGGGGTTGTTTGTTTACCTTTTAATAGTTATATTAAAAGATAACATTTGAATCGCTAAGAGGTGAATCTTGTTTGGTCGGAATAAAAGTTTGCATCTTAATGGTTCCAAAACCCTCTGAATGATTTTGTATCATGGGTCTCCCTTAACCATTCAGCATCCTAATTTCATTATGAATAATTACCAAACAATTATATTTCATTTTGCACTATATTATAAGAGTCTCTTAATCATTTTGTATCAAACCATTCAACAACTGCCAAACAACCACTAAGTTTATTCCGTTTAGTGATCTTGAGTTGGTCGATTGAGGGCATATTGGTCATTTGCAACTGTTAATCAAATTCATGTAGCTTGACAAGGAAAATTTGAGTCATGGGTACAGTACAGTATCCCTTCGTCGTTACATTTCATTTAGGATCAGAAATAGGAAAAGATGCATTAAACGAGTGTTTAAAGGAGATGTACGTACAACGGTACAAAGCACTTTGACGTTTTTAAAAAGGCAAAAACCTTGAAATGTAAACAACCATTATCAAGAACTTCTCTTGTACTCGAGTGGACCTATTCATTGATCAGTGGTAGTATGTGCCACCACTTATATCATCCATCATAGCATAAAAAATATTATTTTATTTCATATTATAATAATTTACGGTTGGATCACCTCATTTTCAGGGAGAGCTAATGTTTGTTGGGTATTTTGGTTTGACACTGCTTCACACCCAAAAGGAAGGGAGTTACATCTGAGTTAAACTTGGAGATGAAAGTCTTCTGTCGTTTCTCGACAGTGAAGTAAGACCAAACTCATGAGCTTATTATCGCAGGTCGGAACAAGTTGATAGGATCCCCTTTTTTCGCCTCCATGTCGCCATCAATGAAAAAAATTTGGATTTGTTCTTACAAACACTGATTACCCCCAACAACACTGATCTGTCGGAACTTTGTAGTTTTAACTTTTCACTTCGACTAATTAACGTACACTTTTAGATACCATTTGATTTATTATTTAAATATATTTTTTTATTTTCATAAAAATATAATATAATTATCAGGTAAGATAATATGCAATACACTGTATGTCTTTATATGTGCATAATACATGACAAACTCAATTTAAAAGACAATACTTTTATTGAAATTTTATTTTCAAGAACATCTATATATTATATTATAAATGACAAAAACTCTTAAAAACCATTTTTATGCATGAAATACTGTTTATTGATTCATATTACTTAAAATTCAAGATTATAAATAAATTGTGTATAAGTACAACTTATTAAAGTTTCATGTTTGAATTCGTGTAACTAAGTGCATATAAACATAGTCAATATACAAGATAAACATTTCATTTTAAATATAAAAAATCTAAAATATAATTAAGATAATCAATGAATTCTAATAGAATACTTAATTATTATCCTTATAAAAAATATATTAACAAATC